GGGATGTGGTGGCGTCGTCGAGCGTTATGGCGACCATGCCCTCGCTTGCCCGAGGACAGGCTTGTTGGCCAGACGCCCTAAAGTCGTCGAGCGCACGTGGGTCCGCGTGGCACGAGAGGCCGTCGGCGCCGAAGGTCAGGTCGTGCCACAGCAGTGGCTCTTTGTGGACGACCGCCGCCGCCTTGAACGGGGCCACCGCCAACGGAGGAGCGCTGTGCTGCGACGCAACACTCGTGTCTCCTTTAACCAGAACGGGTCATCCACATCCATGCGCCGTGGAGGTGGACGGTGCCGTGCTGCAGGTCGCGGAGCGACGCAAGCGCCGCACGTACCCCGAACTCGCGAGGGGCGGCCCGCAGAAGCTAGTGGTCCTAGGCTCCGAGATAGGAGGCCGCAGCACTTTGTTCGCGACCTCGTCCGGCTCCGCGCTCTACGTGCGCCGCCTGCCGTGCGCGCTGCGGCGTCCTCCGGCTGGGCAAGACGCTGGTGGGGAGCCCTTTCCGTTGCGGTCCAGCTCGCCGTTGCGAGCACAGCCTTGGGCCGAGCGTGGCCGGCTGCGCCACTGCCTGGGCCGAGCGACGGCCCTGCACTGGACCGCGTGCTCGACCTCACCACCAATGAAGGGCCGGGCCTAGCCTCCTGCCCCTGCGTCCCTAAACCGGGACCGCCCGCTGTGGTAGTAGCTCGACCAACGTAGCTCTGGCACCGTGTTGCAGTCCGAAAACGGCGAGAAAAAAAAACAGAAATCATGGCAAATCTGCGACCGTGCAGATTGAACATCAAGACAAGAATATGCATGGAAAGAAATGTCTTCAGCTTCATGGCACCATTTGCGACACAGACCAATGCCCACACTTTTACTCCGCAACCCGCCACTGAGGAATAGTTTGTTTTGCTTTGCTGTGAGGAACACCTCCTCGGATTCACCACGCCACGTTTCGGATATGAATAACACATCAAACTCCACATTGTCGATCTCAACCAAGAAATCATCATATCTGGATGGGTCACGAATGCTCTGTACATTTTTGGAAATAATTCGTAAGCGAAGAAATGGGCCTGCGTCCTGATTTGCACGTTTAGTGGAAGCAAACTTTCCATGGTGCACATCTGTGCTGCGAAAATGGGGACCTGTTTCGAGTTCACCCGGACGACTATTTTGAACATCTTGTAGCTGGCAATGACGTCTTTTTGGGGAAAACCGCCGAGCTCAATCAAGAAGTTTTTGAGCTTGCTGACGGCTTTCAACCGGCTTCGCTCTCCACGAGAGCGGTTCTCTGATGCCCAAAGTTTCGCTTCCTGCATGCCTTTATGCTTCTTCTGCGAGCGAATGAACTTGAAAGCCTGCTGTGGTGAAGTAAATTGAACCAATGCCAGTGCGGATTCGGCGTCCGTCACGTTGACATCTTGGAACCCGTCGACATGTGCCAGCAACTCGCGCAGTAAAGTTTCCGCCCCCGCAACAACCTGTTCCCGGAAAACGCCGATCACGACAACTGATTTGTCCTCGTCGTCCGTATCCTTCGGCACTACGGAGAGAGAGACGGGTCCTTGAACGATCGTGTGTCACGATCAGAAAGAACTGAAAGTGAGACAATATGTACATGATCAAACACAAACATCAAGGAATGCGACGTGAGTAAGTAAGTAAGTAAGTCCTGCATGCCCGTAGGCGGCCTCTTAGAGGAGCAGGCAAAGAACGCAACTTTACATGGTGTCAAACTGCATTTGAGCATGACGTCACGTCAATGTTAGAATCATTCTAAACATCGACGGCTTTTGACGAATCATCTTTGTTCAATTTTCTCAATGCTGTACAAAATCAATGAATGCACCCCGCGCGATGTCAAAGAAATTTGTCACGTACTCAGTCCAACAGGTATTTCCATTGAAACGCGCAAAAGCTTCAAGCTGCGTGTACCAACAATCGCGAGGTCTACCAGGAACGCGAAATCCATTTGGCGACCAACTCATCGCACGCTTCACCCACCTGTTTGCTGGCAACTTTGCCACATGATGTGCGAAATTCCAATAGCCATGGATGCATTTGTAAGACCAGCTCTGCAAGTTTAACGTTTGAGTCATCTGCTGGACATGTTGATTCCATTCGTGCAGTACCTCATGCCAGGGTAACGACCAATCAAGTCCCCAAGGCGGTCCAACCATGATTCTAAGCAATCGTCGCCATTCTGAATCCAGTTTGCGAAGATGATGCTGCCGTACTTTGCGATGCCCGGCACCAAAACATGCAACCGGTGTCACTACAGCTTCGAAAAATTTTACCCGAAGGGCCAATGGGACGTGAATCAACCATATCAAACCAACAATTTCGACATGAGTTAAGTAAGCATGACAATGTCAAGACACTACTAACATTTAGACGCAGATATATACTGTGTGAGAACGCCACTCAGGAAGTGCACTCACATCTCACACGCCGCAGCGGCAAGGCATACATGAGCCACAAATGCAACATTGCGTGCGATACTGCGTGTGGCATTGACATGGGGCTCCGTGCTGAACAGAGAGAAAGTGTGCTCCAGCTGGCGCACCCGGTCCTCCAGTTGGGTTCTTGCAGCAAATTCTGTATCCATCCTGGTGTGCAACTGCTCAGCTGTCTCGTCCATTTTGCGGGTCAAGCGTGCTTCCACCTCCCCATGCCATGTGCGATTTCCTCACGCATCATCATCATCATCATCATCATCCTCAAAGCTTGGATGGTGGCCGGGGTCATTTCAACTTTGTTGACTTCCAACCACGTGGCTCTATGATGTCATGCTGCGGGCCCTGAGAAGATGTCGCTGCCACCTTTGTCCGCTCGGCACCTTCACGGTCAGGTGTGCCTTCTTGAGCCATCCACTTTCCAGGTGCAACTGAGACGGGTCTTGCTTCATGCTCTTTCGCCCACCAACGCAAGGAAACCTTTCTCAAAATCGCTGGATGGATCTTGCCAATTGGCCCCGGCTTTGTTGGCCTCCTCAATGGTGCCAGCTTGTTTAATCTTGTATATATTTGTCGAACCTTTCATAGGCTTTGCTACCTGGCTTCTTGGAGTGCGGCTCTTGAGCCTTGGCTCAATATATTATTACTACGCCCCAAGCATTTATGCGTTGGGCCAGCATGAGTCGCTCGTGGCCGAGCGCCTGTTGGCGTTTCTCGGGGATTCCTACGTCGTTACCACGCTGGAGTCACGCTGGAGCGAGCTGGGCCTGGGAGGCATCCTTGACGGTGAGGTTGGGCGCGGCGTGGGCGTCGCTGCCAACCTCGGCAAGGCTCAAATCTACAACGTTTTACAACGCTCAGGGAGGCGCAGCGCCACCGGACGTTTGGCGGGGGGATTTGGCGCATTTTGCCGCCCGGACAGCAGGTTCGTCGCGCTCGGCGGACCGATCGGCCACCAGGACTTCGTTGTGTCCCAGGCCGATGAGCGCCTGCGCGCCGGGGCCGAGTTGCTGCGGCGTTTGCTGCTCCTATCGGATCTCTCGTGCGCGTGGCTGCTCCTTGTGTATAGTGCGGCGCAGCACGACAGCTGGAGGCGGGTGAATTCCTGGCAGCCTTCCTGGACGACATTTACGCTCCATTGCGCGCCTGTGGCCAATGGATGCTGTCAGCGCGACCATCGAGCGCGAGGCCGGGGTTGCTGCAAACCTTCGCCAAACGCGTGGGTATCATACCCGTGGTGGCCCTGCGCCGCCCGGCGTGCGCGAGCTCGGCGAGGACGTGTGGCGCGGCGACAAGCCCCCCTCGCAACGCGGGTTCGTTGCTTTGTGCGTGCCAATCGGCCACCAGGAATTCACTCGGTCATGCGCGGCATCGCTTATGAGTTCTGGCCGCTGAAATCGGGGGGGCTGGACCGACAAGTCCCAGCTTCTAGTGCAGACTGCGCGCGCGCCGGGCCGTCCAGCGAGTGCCCGCAGCGGACAGCAAAGAAAAACATTCTCGCGAGGTCCGCCAGTGATCAAGTTCGGAGGCCTACCTACTGCAACCGGACTCAGCAGGCAGCGCTTGAAAATGAACCCATGCGGTCGTCCGCGATTACGCGGCCAGGACTTCCTCCTCTGCCGATGCGGCAGAGCTCCTGAGACCCCACACATCCGGGCAGGGCAGTGACGTATCCCCAGCTTGGATGAAGTATGATGAAGTGATCTTGGACAGTGGAGCAGATTGCACAGTTCTCCCTGTTGATCAGTTTGGTCAAGTCGGCATAGCTGGTTCCAAAGCAACCACTCTCTTGGATGCTCAAGGAAACCACATCTCACAGACAACCACTTGAGAGAAAGTGTGTTTGAAGTGGAAGGCTTTTTGGGGTTGTTTGAGCGGTCGTGTGCATGGCTGGGATGCTCGGCTGCCGGGGCAGCACGTTTTCACGCGCGAAGCTCCGAGAAGTGACGACAGTTACAGTTTCGGGGGATGGCGAGTTTCAAAGGCCTCCTCGTTCGCAATTGCTAAGGGCTTTTGTAACAACACTTGGGAAGTTAGGTCGCGCCCTGGTCGAACAAGTTCAAGATCGCAAACAAACATGGTCTAAAACGCGTCTCCACATTCCTCTTTTGTTTAGTCATTTGTTTGCCAAGTCCTCGTGGTCCCAATTTAAGCGCACTTTCGAAACTGACCACATGACACGCAGGCCGAAAAAACGTTTTTGATGAACAACGTGTTTAGAAAAAATTGGCCTTCCCATTGCACCGAGTGGTAATGGTGGTGGTGGTGGTGGTCGTCATCTACGTGTTTCTTGCTGTTTGTTTGTCATTGTTATGGTTCATGGTCATCGCATTGCATCTATGTTGTGACGCCATTTGTGGCCGCAGACGGTAGCAATTCCATCAATGCGCGGATGGTGGTGCCTTAGGGCTTTTACGGCAAGGCCGTGGCCTGCGGATTGCTGGCGCCATTTTGCAAGTCATTGCTGAATCTGGGAGAAGCAGTTTGTGCTTTGTTTGTGTTCTGGCTCCTGATGTTCTTGGAGTCTTTTTTTTGCCGTAAAGATGCCCAGCACAGGAATGTCGGCGCCTTCCGATGTGAAGTTGACCCTGGAGCGAACCAGCTCCACGCTGCTTTCGCAGATAGAGGTGCAGCTCTTGCCGTTTGGCCCGGTTGTTTTCGTAGATGTCAATTGCTTGAAGTTTGTGGGCCGTTTTCTGTTTCACATTGCGTGGCCGAGCACTGCGCTACATTACTGTCGTGCAACACATGTATGTGAGAGGCTCTGGAGAAGAGGACCTCCGAATTGAAGAGAAGTCGTGAAGCTTTGGAGGCATCCCATAAGAAACAACAGGAACAGAGCAGGCATGATGATGGCGATGATGACCTGGCTGCGGATGCAAGGCAGACGCAAACGAAGCTGGACGATTCATCAGTTGGTAAAACAGAAGGAGAGGAAGACGAAGACAGAAACAAACTTCCACAAGTCCTTGGAGATGAAAGCAAGCAGGCCATTTTGGTCGATCCCCGCCGGTGGGCACGGGAGCGCTTGGCCACTGCTTTACGGGAACAAGGTGAGGAGCTAGAACAGAGTTTCAAGCCAAAAAACTCTAGTCCACCTGCCTCCACAGCAAATGCGCCAGAAGGGCAGCCGCCAGCATCCGCGACCTCTCCAGCGACCGTGCCCCCGAAATTGAACGCCATTGGAGGTTGTCATCTCAGTTGCTACATGTCTTCAAACGATATATGCAAAAGGTTTCGCAAATTGTGGTTGTGGGGTATACTTGTTTTTTGCTTAGTAGTGCAGGTGAAGCTGACGGCATTGCGAAGGCGAACGCCCCTGGCACATTGGCCAAAGCCAGTGGCATGATGAAGGGCAGCATGCCCATTCCTAGCAGCATGGGTGCCGTGGCCAAGGGCGCACCTCCACTTGGTGCAGGGCCGCCGGTTATGCCAGCAACCTCGTCTGGCTTACCGATGGCCGTCTTTCGGATTCTCAGTATTCTCAACGTTTTCAGGATTCGTAAAAGTGGGCTTTTTGAACCTAAAACCTAGTGACTAATGGTTTCGCATCATCAAGTAAAGGGGAAGCAAAAAATAGTATTTTGACATGATTACAATGATTCCGTTGCGCATGCTTGCCTTCATATGCTGAGGCCAAGCTCCCCTCCGGTGCACCCGGGCCAAATGGTGCTGCTTTGCCAAAGGGATTTGTGCCAAAGATGCCAGCTATGGCCGGGCTGGACATGGGATGCAGTGGGACATCTATGCCCTGCATGGGTGGTTGTCTGGGTGGGGGTGGAGGGGGCATGGGGATGTCTGGCCCACTCGGCATGGGTGGCGGCTTATGTCCTCCAGGGCCAACGGGCCCCGGCGTGGGGCCAGCGAGCGGAGGCAGCCCTGATGGAGAGAGCGACGAAGTGCAGCAGCAAATGATGCTGCAGATGCAAATGCAAATGCAAATGATGATGATGGGTGCTATGATGGGATCCATGTTGGGTGAGAATGACGATAAGAAAAAGGGCAAGAAAAGAAAGAAAGACAAAGCACTGGACTTGATTGACGGGGACGACTTGCCGCCTGGCCCTTCCAGCGACATGAATCACCCCAGCTACAGACCGGCAGATATGGAGCACATACCTGGCATCACAGACAGGAGATTTGAAGGGCGCATCACGATGTGGCTCGAGGCCAGCTAATTTGACAAACGATTCAGTTAGTTTGAGGTAGTCGCGTGCATCTTAGTGCTTGTGCTGCTAGCAGGACAAAGGCTATGGCTTCATTGGCAATGAGGATCTGAAGCAGAAGTTCAATGGCATGGATGTTTTCCTGCAAACGAACCAGAAGAGACATTTCAATCAAGGTGATCAAGTAGTATTTAGCGTCTTTAAGAATTATCGAGGTCAGCCCCAAGCGACCGAACTCAGGGCAAGCAGAGCTTCCCTTGGATAGGGATCAGAATTGCTCGTCTCGTCGACACGCCTGATGCGTGACGAAATCCATGTGTGGAGGTGGCTATCAAGACATGACACTAGGGTGATGTGATGTTGCCACACCTTTCTTGCTGGGCCACCTCTGCTCCAGACACATAAAAGGCAAGGTTTTCACCTTGTCCGCGATGTTGCAGCAAGCACCAGGCAGCCGCGGACGGAAAAGTGCGACCTGTGAATGTTACCCAGGAGGCCGACAACGTTGCCGCCATCGCGACCCCATGTGCGAGCCACACATGCGTGGTCTGCTCACAGCATGACTGCGAGTGTAGGTTTTCGACTTGATGCACATGTTTTTTTGGACATGCCAGATGATACTGCCCTTTGCATGCGGCTTGATAGATAGTGTGGGATGAGCAGCGACCTCTTTCCACAGCACTCAATTCGTTTGCAAGATAAGGTTGTTTCGTTTTTCCTTGTCATTGGAGATTGAACTTGTTGGTAGAAGAATGATTGCAGGGAAGCCCGTGGATGCAAAGCCAGACTCGGGTGCAGGCCACCTCGATGGCGCTGATGCAACTTCTGCTCGATCTCGTGGCTCTCCTCATTCCGCCCGCAAGCCAGAAAGTTGGACCTCCCGATTCCTTGTGCGGTCTGATGTTGAGGCAAAGGGCAGCACGAATCGTGGCAAAGTGATTGCTGCGCTCAGCAAGCTGGGGGGACCTGATCCAGACAAGAAGACTAGCTACATGTCTCGGCTTCGCACCAGCATGAAGGGGAGAAGGGAACAGCTGAACAGCCAGGGTGATATCGGACTTCACGATTTGGCGGACGTGATGGCGCACGACTTCGTGGATGTAGCTCAGAATTTGGCTTTGTCGGCCGACCCAGTGGTGCAAGAGATTGGAGAGGAGAGCTTGTTGAAACTCAAGAAATCCGGCAACCTGGATCCTCAAGATGATAACGTCATAGCTGCTTTTAAGAAGCACAAGGCAACGATCGGCAAATCCCTTTTCGAAGCCGAGAACACCAACAACTGGGGGGTTGAAATGTACTTGCTGGGGGATTACAACACTGCCTCCGACTATTTCAACCAGGCCTTGAAGCTCACGTCCGAAAGAAAAAAATCAGCAGCCTCAGAACTTGCAGTGTTAAAGGCTTTTGTGAAGGAGAAATATGATGGCAGCGAAGAGATGTTGTACACCGAGCTGGTAAGAGGCGAATGGCGATCTGCTTTGGGTCACAAGAAGTTTGTTGAAGCCTTATCGCGACTAGATTACCCTGGAGATCCTGATCGAGTTTTCACTATGCTCGACAGCGTAGCTAATGATGGCAAAGTCTCGCTTCCAGAGCTGACCTCCACCTTGAAGGCGAAGACTGTGCGACTCAACAGTATGGACCGCGAGCCAGTTCAGAAAGGCATCGTGCTTTCTAACCTTGGGTGTTGTTCTTTGCAGCGTGGAGATGTCATGTCTGCGCTTCAGAGTTTTCGTGAAGCTTTGCGAATCGTCCGGCGCGCAGCTGGTAAGAAGAAAGACTCCGATGAAACTGTACTTACGATCATGACGAACATGGCCGCGGCCTACATTCATCTGGGTGACACAGATGCAGCGTTACACACCTTGAGTGTGGTATTGGAAAGACGTGAGCACTTCCAGGGTCGTTTGCATGAGGATGTCCTGACCATTCTGCACTTGGCCGGCTATGCTTTTCTTGTGAAGGCCAACAGATTCCAGATAGTGCGTGACCGCCAGCGAATGGATAGTAAGAAGCAAGATAACCCAGTGCTTGTGAACTACCATTTCGCATTATGTGCGTTCAAAGAACGGCTCCTGCGTCAACAGTCGGTCCTGAGCACAATGCCAAACGTCGATAGCGTTTTGTGTGACATCGGCGCGCGGCACCAATTAGAGCTACACATTGCGCGCAGCCATGAGATTGTTGCCGAAGTTCATGACAAGTGCGAAGATTTAGAACGCGCTCGGGATCATCTCATGGCTTCGCTGCAATACAAGAAAGACATTCTCGACGCAGCTGATCCCGACTTATTCTCAACTCTGAACTTGTATGCGAGTGTGTGTGCTAGATCTGGGAGGGACGAGGAAGCCCTCCAGTCTATGAGCTTGGCCATGCAAGCCAGTGAAGAGCTTTTTGGATACAAGTCGGCTGCTGTAGCAACGCAGTTGTTCCATTTGGGCCTGCTTCACTTACGAATTGCCTTTCGAGCACGCAAGCAACGAACGAGCGATGTCCTGCACAAATCTACTGAGCAACTGCAGCAGTGCTTAAGCATACGCACGGAGCTTTTTGGCTTGGACTCTGAAGAGGTGGCATCCACAGCACAACTGCTGGGAAGTGTGTACTTTGCTGCCGGCAATGTACAGCAAGCCCGTCGAAGCTACGAGAAAGCTCTCTTGATTCGGGCCGCCTGTGCAAACAATGAAGCAACAATAGCATGCTCAGCACATGCGCTCGGCTCACTTTGCTTGCGATGCCCGCGTCGTTTGGAAGAAGGGGTGATGCTGCTCCAAAAAGCAGCGGCTATCCGCCGGAGGCAACTTGGCGAAGGCAGCCTCCACCTTGCCGAGACACTGCACGAGCTGGGCTCAGGACTTCTGCTGCGGGCCGCCGCCAGCGATGTCCAGGATGCTCTGGTGCATTTGTCGCAAGCGGCTGCAGTCAGGGAGGAACACCTTGGCAAGAGGAACCTAACTTACGCAGCTTCCTTGCACCAGCTCGGCCAAGCTCACCTGCTGTTGGGCTTGCCCTTGGAAGCAAAGCCGTACCTGCAGGCGGCTTTGGCCCTGCGCGAGAAGCTGGTTGGAAAGCACAGTGCGCAGGCCGCATCCAGCCGGGTGGCGCTTGGAGTTGCTTTCGCCAACGAGGGAGACCTTGAGACAGCCTTGGTTTTCCTGAAAGTTGCTTACAAAGATCGGGAAAGAGCCCTTGGCCAGATGAATGCTCTTACTGCGGACACGTTGTATCAGGTGGGCTTGGTATTGATGCGCAAAAGAGAATTTGAGCAAGCGCTGGCAGCACTGACTCAAGCCTTAAACGTTCTCTCACAGCTGAATAATAGTGACGTCCAGGCAAGGCTGGCAGATTCTGATGAAGAGCAAGAAGTGCAGAAGACTTCTGAAAGGACGCGACGGGTTCAAGCAAAGCGAGGGCGCAAAGGGCAGGCTGAGGCTGAGGAGCGACAGGGGCACGCAAACGAAACGTCAACGATGTCAACGAGCCTGGCTGTAAGGCTTTTTGCAAAAGTGAAGTCGAAGTTCCATCCCACGCCTCGTGAAGAGAGCGCTTCCACCGTTTCCCAGCTTAAAGATGAAGAGGTATGCATCGAAGACACAGGAGTGGATATCAGAGGCTGCCATGCTCCAAAACTGGCTTTACTTATGCAAACCATGGCATCTGTATACATGGAGTTATGTGAGTTTTCGAAGAGCAGGTATTGGCTTGACAGCTCGTGCTGCATTCGCGAGGAGGTCTTCGGCATCGTAAGCAGAGAAGTGGGAGAAACTATGCATCAGTTTGGATTGCTGTTCAGGTTACGCAAAGACCCTGCTACGGCACTGTCGTACTTCCGGAAAGCGTTGCATGCACGTGAGCGAACGTGCGGGTTCACTCATGCAAGCACCGCAGAGACTTGTGAGCAACTGGCTGAGATTTTGCATGAGCTAGGAAACGCAGACGAGGCAAGCATTTTCATGAGCAAGGCGCTTACAATCAAGGAGCAGCTTCCTTCTGTCACGGCTGCTGATCTTGCGCAAGCACGCGAGAAGTGGAACGGCTTGGCTGCTGCGGGCATGGAGTATGATCCTGTGAAAATGGGTGAGGCGCTGCCGCACATATCCCGGCGCAGTGCCGAGTCGTATCTACATGGCTGGAAGGACAGACGTGGCGAGAATCAAAACAGAGCGTTCTAGTGACGCAGTGAGCAGCTTTATGGCGGGATGCCTGGGCGGGCGGGGAGGGGGGAGATGTACATATCATGTCATTGAATGAAGAAGAGAGGAAGATGGGTTTTCCCGGCCTCCACCGGGCGGGCCTCTCCCGCGCCTTCCTGTGGGGCATGGAGCGTGGAGGACGATTTGAGGAAGGGGTGATTTGAGGATGATTTGAAGATGACTGGGGAAGAGGCCCTCCAAATTGACATCAGTTTGGAAATAGATGATTGTGTGACATTGTGAGAAACCAGGCGTTCTTGGCTGAGTTGTTATGCGAGTCAAGTATATAGTAAGTAAGCATTTGCGTTTTTGGTTATGTTATCGTGACAAAAAGTGGAAATTCCAGCACATCGCGAGCACCATGCTGGACCTCGTAGAGTGCGAGTGCCCCTGGCTTATATACCATCGAGGCGATCACGGAGCTGGCCTTTTTCAGCTGTACGTTTGCTTGGAGGTATACTTTCACCACCATCAGCCTGCTGAAGTTCCTTTGTGCAGTGTTGGCCGCCGCCTCAGGAGCGAGAGTCCATCAAGACGTGGGGTCATGCGGAATGAGTGCATGGCGGGATGCGCACGAGCAGGATTTGAATCATGTCAAGCTTGTGGGTGGTGCGTCCGCTATGTAATTGATGCAGGCTCTGGATCTCATGGCCAGCGGCGATTTAAAGTATTGGTTTTATGGATGAACTGGACCATGAGATAGAAACTGGCGCTGGGCGCTAGTGACCCAGCGCTCGGATCACTTCTCGGGGTGAAACCTCCTTCCCATGGAATCCTTGGCTGCGTTCCATATTCATCAAATTCAGTGGACTTGCAGAGAGACGCGCGATGTCACTCAACATCGGGCGGAAGGAAAAGACAAGGAGCCTACCACAGAAACCACACCATCATGAAACTTTCTACGACAGGAACTTGTTTTGCCTCGGGAGCTTCTCCAGCTCTAAACTCGTAACACCTTGGAGTCGTGAATCTAGGGCGACAACCTTAATCTGGAACCCCCTGCAATGAAAATTATCTATGCGTGTTTTGCGCACGAGAATATACTAAATGTAAATGGCTTTGCATGTTCACA